GGCTGGCCGAGGGAAGCTGGCGATGGGATTCTCTCCCTACCTGCCGCTCTCCCTTTGGCTCCCGGCTGCGGTTAAGCCCGTAGCACAACCATATTCAGAAAAGCATCTAACCAAGGCGTCGTTGACAACGGGATTCAGCCACGCAAGGGTTTCACGTTTACATTTAGGGAGAAAAAGCCTCTCTCTGTGCCGCTCTTTCTCTGCCCGTCGCTGTGCCAGGAGCTCGTCGCTTTGCCTTGAGCCTGCTGGCTCTGTGGAAGGGGTTGCGTGGTGTAGCTGGTGGCCGTGACGGGGCGGGAGGCTCAGCCAGGTGGGAGTCTCTGCCAGGTCTCTGCTTCTATCTTCAGCATTGCTCACCAGCCTGAGAAAGAGATCCTTTGCCTGGATGGACCCCAGGATTTTAACCAGTTGCTGAAGTGTGTCTTTCTGAAATATTCCAAGTGTTGAGAACAAGGCTTCAGGAATGACATACGTGTAACAGGCAATGGTCAGTTTTTATATAATAAAAATATGTTCCAGGGACAAGTTTGCAATAGTTCTAAAGCCTTCCTCTGGGTAGAGAAAAGGCGCTTTTTATCTCACAGACACAGAATCACTAAGGTTGGAAAAGGCCTCTGAGATCATCAAGTCCAACCATCACCCCAACCCCACCATGCCTGCTAAACCATGTCCCCAAGTGCCACATCCACACGGTTTTTGAACCCCTCCAGGGATGGGGACTCCACCACTGCCCTGGGCAGCCTGGTCCAATGCCTGACCGCTCTTTCAGGAAAGAAATTGTTCCTAATATCCAATCTGAACCTCCCCTGATGCAACTTGAGGCCATTGCCTCTCGTCCTGTTGCTGGTTACTTGGGAGAAGAGACCAACCCCTGCCTCATTACAACCTCCTGTCAAGTAGTTGTAGAGAGCGATAAACGATCCGTTAGAAGGGTTAAGTCAGGTTGCAATTGTATTGTTTCTTTTTTTTGCCAAAAGCATCTGCCATTTAAAGTAAGTTAAAAAAAATCTCATGCCAGACTGATTAAGAACCAGCACAATCCAAGTAATTTCAGTAATGCATACTCGTACGTTTCTGACCTCTTTTTGTGCCCATAACCCAGGATTTGTTCTGCAGTACTGTTATCATGAAGACAATCAGTCTGCCACGTTATAGAAACCGTCTGAATGCTCTTTCTGTCTGGGCAGAGTGGACTACGCCGTTATCCAAGCCGTTGGCCCTGACAGGGCAGCGTCGGAGTGGCTGTTGCGATGTGGTGCCCTGGTGCGCTACCAAGGCTATGAGAAATGGCAGCAGGACTACAACGGTCTCCCAACGGGGCCCTTGGGGAAATACAAGATAGAAGCAATTAATGCCACTGACTCATGCATCATGTACAGAGGATTCGACTATTTGGGTAACGTAGACACAGCTGTGCAAAGGTTATACCGAATGGTCTTAATTCTTTCAGTTGCATCAAAATATGAATAACCAGGTCATTTTCTCGTTCCTTAGTAAGATATAGAGAAATCTCTTTTTTTTGTTGTTTTCCTTTTCTGCTGAAAATGGCTCTGCAAATATTCAGCAGTTCCTAAGATCTTGCGGGAGATATGGTGTGAAGCCGAAAGAGATTAGGAACTTCATCAGCCCTCACCTGAAGTGACAGTAGCACTGAGGAAGTGCGACAAAGATTTGCTGTTTCGCTGAGTTCATAGTTAAGTAGCTGGAAGCAAAAAGCACTACTGTAAATATTCTTTTTCTTCTAAACCAAGTGATGTTTTTGGTGGTGGTGAAGTTGTAATACTGCTTGTTCTCCAGTCATTTATGATGTCAAAAAAGAGACTGAAAAAAGCAGCAAGCTCTCAGTTTCTTACAAAATAAGAGATTAAAAAAGGGTTTCAGGTCTCCTTTAAATAACAAAACCCAAAACGAGGAACAGACCATTTCATTTTTTCATTGGCAGGGGACCTTGAATTTCCTTCATTAGAACGTTCCTGAGTGAGAGTCATTGTTTATCACCCAAACTTGTGAAGTTTTTTTGCCACTTGCTCATGTCGAAGCTCTTGGAATCTTACCGAAAGGATACAAACCCTGGGGTTTTCACATACTTGAAGTACTGCAAAGGGGCTTTGGAGATTCGTGGTGCGTCAGGGCCCCGCTGTGTAAAGGAGCATGTTGCCGTGTGGTTTTGGAGGCAGTTACTAAATTGAGAATTTAACCAGTACGGGTTGTTCCTGGTATTCTGAAGCATGTACTTGGTTTTGTCTTTCCAGATGGTCTTGAGCATGTTACAGAAATCAAGCTGCAGAAGTGTATTTACATACAGGACGAGTGTCTGCAGAGGCTCAGCGAGACCAAGAGTCTACAGAAGAGTCTCCTCCAGCTGAAGATCATTTCCTGTGGGAATGTCACAGATAAAGGCGTCATTGCACTTCACAAGCTGATGTACGTAGCTCCTGAGCTCCTCGTGCTCCCTAGCTGTTCCCACCCCGCAATTTTGGGATTGTGTTGGCTGAAGGGCAAAAGTCTGGATGTTTCTGGGCCGTTTTGGATGTGTGTGGGATGGCTGGGTTTGGGGACTGACTTGAGTGACAGCCTGGGAGGGTGGCACTGCCACTGCAGGAACGGTTTCTTCAAGTGGTGTGGATGGCTCTGAGAAGACATGTGGATTAACACACACGTGTTAATCAGCCTGTGAAGGCTGGTGGCAGGGAGTTGTGTGGCACTGGGGCCTGCAGTGAGAAAGCCGGACTCCGTAGTCACGCCTCTAACCTCAGAGTTGAGCACAGTGTCTCCCATTGACACGTGAAGTAACTTCCGCAGTGTTGATCGCTGCACAAATTAGAGCAGGACGCGCGCTCTCTGCTGCCACACCACCTTTGCAAGAGCAGTGAATGTGTACAGCTTCCTCTCACGCTGGCCCACGAGGTGGGTTTTGCTTGAGAAGCAGTAATTAGCAATCCCCTTGGTTTCCACTCCTGACCCCCTGCCGCAGTTCCTTGTCAGGGCAGGCTTTGACGGTGTCCCGTAACTCTTACTGTCTTTCTACACCTCACGCTGCTTCCTATCACGTAGTTACCTCGTGCTCGCTGTGGCCTGAGAGGTCTCAGACCAGAGCTGTGTGTTCCAGCGCTCAGGCCTGGGAAGCAGCGTGGGCTGGGTCCTGCGCGCCTCGGCAGCTCTGAAGCACGTCCGTAGGTGCGTCATTGAACCGTGGCCTCAGAGTGCTCGGAACCATGTGGTGTTACACGGAGTTAACAGGCCTCTCCAAAGGGGTGATGGGGTGACTTGGATTTCATCCTACAGAAAGTTATTATTAAGAACTTTCTATATTACTCACTTACATTACAATAACTTTTCCTAAATTGCTGTTGAAAATATTAAACACTATTTAATACAAAGGAAGCTTCATGATGGTGGGGGGTCCAGGATCTCTTTTTAAGCTGTGTAGGACTGAACATACAGCGAGCTAAAAACTTTAAGCACCCACTTCAGAAAAAACTTCCGTTAGAACCAGTAAACCTTTTAAAATACTCAAAATAACTATGGTAGAATAATCCTTTGTCTAATTTCTGTGTCAACAGTTAAATAGTAGTTGCTGACTTTTCTTTTTAAATATTTATAGGAACCTTGAATATTTGTATCTGAGTGACCTTCCTGGAATCAGAGAGAAAGAAACCACTGTTCGCGTCCTTCAGCAGGCACTGCCAAACCTAGAGGTGGAGCTGGATTTAGAATAAGCACAATTGCATGTAACTGGGGTGTCTTTGATTTCATAGTATTTATCATCTGTTGCATAAATACAGTAGATGCTACTGTATTTCCAGGTATGGAAATAAGCCCAGATCTCCCAATCCAGCCTTAAAAGCTGTATGCAATCTTTCATGCAATTTAGTTTTCCCAAGCTTAAACTGTATGGTGAATCAACAACAGAGAAGGCAGGCTTCTGCGCGCAGTCTTTTTTTTTCCTGTTTTTATAGGGAGCTGTTAATACCTCAATTAGGAGTTTTCAGATATTTCATTGCGCAGAAATTGTTGTGCAAAATGACAGTGGGGAGAACGCCAGTGTGGTGAAGCTGCAGCACTCTACGCTTTTATCGCGCGTCGTGGATGCTGTGGGAATGAGAGCCGTTCACTCTCCGAGAATCTCACCCAGTGGGGGCCGATTTAATAAAATATCTTACGGGCCTGTTTTCTGTTCTTCACGCTTTGACTCACCTAGGCTTTGTTTCTTTTAAACAGAGCGGTCTACAGACCGGCAGTCTAACCTTCTCGTTAACACTGAGCTGAGCAACTGACCTTGCTGTGTTTGTGGAGAAGCCGGTTCTCTTAGCTACACCCGTACGCGCATCTTTGCTGTGTGCTGACATGGACAAGGTTCAGTTCTGTGTACTCCTTTAGTTGCATCCTTATCACTCCTGCTAAATAAGAGAATGATTCATCCTCAGGAAGCATACAGCATTTTCAGTCCAATTCCTAGCTGTGATGGTAGCGGAGAGAAAGGCAGTCGGCAGCGATTCCAAGAAAGCAAACTTCGTAGTGATGTCGCAGACATGGGTACCTCTGCGTAACCAAGAGTCTTTTCTTATCCCTGATTGTCAGCTCGTCCTCTGAAGGAAATGATGCCCAGCTGGTAAAGATAACATTTTGCACTAGTTGCATTGCGGGGCTGCTGCTTCTCGGCATCTCCCAGCACAGGAGCGGTGTCCTGAGATGAGGTTCCCGGGCCGTGTCGGAGCTGGCTGGCAGGCGATCTGCTGCTTGCAGCCAGCGCCTGGGTGCTGCCGTACCTTGCGTGTACACAGCAGAAGGTGGCTGAGTAGCCATACAGAAAATACTGGAACACCAAAGCTTTCTGAGTGTAACCAGAACTACCTATGGACACAACGTGCAAGGTTAAAATATATTACATCATAATATGTAATAAAAGGTAGACAGGCACTCTGAGGGTACAGCATCCGTCCTGTTGAAATTGCTTTTACTGTTGTTGAACACAGAACAGTAGTGGGAAAATAAAACATTTTTGCTCTAGGTTTCACGTAGAAAGAGGACATTCCTTGCCCAGTAGTAAAACCTGCTGCAGTAAAACACATCCGGTACGCTGGAGAAACAAGCTACATTTCTTTTACTCAGAATCAACACAATATCACATCCTGAGGTTACACAAACCCCAAGAATCATTCTAATACAGATGCTTAGGCAGAATTCCTGCCGGTGTCTGGCCAATGCTATAAATTATATTAATGACTTATTTTTGATAAAAACAATTTCTGTAACGCTACAGCCAAGTGACTTCACTATTGACAGAAAAAGCAAATAGAAATAACCTCACAATCCAGGGAAGAAACCGGCAGGAGAAACTCTGAGCAGACTAAAGAAACACCAGTTTTTACCATTTGTATGTCCTGCTCCTGGTAGCAGTGCCTGCTGAGCCTCCCGTTACGTCATTACCAGTACTTGTACTACTTTGTGCTATGCAGTCCGTAAGACAGCCGTACCTTTAGAGCAGTGCTATTTCAGCAGGTTTGTAACTAAGCAGAGCAGCTGGGCAGCCTGTCATCCAGCTGGCTCCGTAAACACGTACAGCTGTCTGCCGCGCGCAGCGGCTCTACGTTTACAGCTCCTCGCGGGATCAGCGGCTGAGCCCCAGCCTAACGCAACACTGCTGTTTTGACACAGCGGGCCTGAGTTCTTTGGCAAGGCTGCAGGTCTTCTGCCAAGTCTGAAATACGGGTGATGGACAGGCAACGGAGCTTTTCAGTTCACACTGTAAACACTGGGCAGTGGTAATCCTGAACCAGTAGACAGTCAGGAACCAATACACAATCACAAATTAAAGCAAAACAAATGTATTTTCCTTTGTACACAGAACACTAACGTGAGCCTGGAGTTCTCTCTGTGCAGCGCTTTCCTTCCATTAGCGACGCAGAGTACGTTACAGACCACTTCTGTGTATGTCATAACATGTATTAATTTAGTTCTCCACTGCGTATCCTCCTTTTATAAACTCTGAATGATTTGAACTTTGAACAATAAATAACTCTGCCATCTGGTTAGATGTTAGGGAAATGGTAGCTGGATTTCCGTGTTTTGCAGCAGTTCTTCTTGCTGTCCACAGCCGGCAGAACGTTACTACTGGTTAACTGAGGCAGGTGCTGTAACTAGAGGAAAAGTTACATAGCATGAATTTGTTTGAAACAAGAACAAAGCCTGCATTTCATTTTTCAAAAAGGAATATAAGCTATAAAATTATTCATACTGTAATCCTGTATTTTTCAAACTACGAGTCATGCATCTGGGGTTCTGCAGCTGGACTGCGACCAGAACAGCTCATGAAAGGTGTTTCTTCCAGTCACCCAGGGCAAGAAAACCATTGCTGTTACACCCTACGTTGTACAAATGGAAGAGGCGAGTCAGTCTGAGCCAGGAGTTTACATGCTGTAGCAGTTCTCCATCCTAAACCTCCAGCTTCCCCGCGTTACCAGTTCAGCATTGCAGCTGTCACAGGGAATGTGGCTCACGGGAAGACAGAACTGCTGACGACTCGTCACGAGGCTGGATTTGGAGCCTTGGGCTGGAGTCTGGAAAGACTGACATGGCAGGGAGACATTGGCCTGGCAACGCCAGCTGCAGAAACACCCAGTGCGCTGTGTAACATCTGCAACTGCCACATCCCATCAGCAGTTACACCTGGAAATGGGCATTTTTGCCATCTCCATAATCTGGGATCCAAAAGTACCCAAAAGATCCCAGAGAACTCGAAATTAAACCAGCCACGCGAGCCTGTCCAGTTTGCTCAGCTATCCCGCTACTCTTTGTCAGGAACGCCCACCCCTGGACAAACCCCGTCTTTCCCGTGGCTGTGCTGCTCAGCCCCAGTGACTCCGTGGAGCTGCGATGCAGAATTCAGTTTGTACTGACTTACTCTCTAGCCAGGAGGTTCATGTTCTCCTCGGGCTGAAACTGAGATCGCTCCAATGCAGGAGCTGTCTCTCACCCCTGACTGCCAGCATGAGCCCACCTCCTGGCAGCCACACAAAGAGACCCAGTCCCCTCCTCAGGCACGGAACGTTAAATTCTGCTGTGAAAATCTTACCCCTGCCATGTGCTTCCGAGTCAGCCTGGCTGGTTTCCGAGCCGTTTTTTCATCTTCTTTCCCCAGATCCGCTGCCTCCCTAATGCTGTCAAAATAGGGATGCTGCAGCAGCTGCTCGCATGTCTGCCTCTCTGCAGGGTCCATACGAAGGCAGCCCTTAGAAAAGATGATGAAAAGGATCACACTCGTTAAGCAGGTCTGCACAATTCCAGCTACTCACCACAGCCAACGAGTATTCGCATAGATACATGTGTTAAAATGTGTTAAAACTTGCAAAGCAGCTGACAGTGAACAATTGCCACAAGGCAGTAACAGAAATTGCAGCTAGAGGGACAGTTACAGTTGGATGGTGTAGCAAACCATCAAGCCTCAAAAACCTGTTAAGCCCATAACTTTCATTTGAACTAGAACAACTTTCTTAAATGGGAACCCACTACGGCACAGCTGTGTCGTTCCAGTGCTTAGCGTAGCGAGTACTATCCACAGCTGCACCTTCGTTTTCATGTCTCCATCCTCACAGTTTCCATTCACTGCATTTTTATAAGAGAGTAATATGTTTTCCACCCCCATGGTAAAGATGAGTGGATTGGAGAGGAGTGGATTAGAAGTCCTCTCCAAATCCCCTCCAGCTGGTTTTCAATGCTAATTCAGCAGCCAACTCTCAAACCATTTCCCAGCTGGATAAACAAACCAGCATTTGTTAAGTCTCAGTGCAGAGCTTCCCCACAAGCTGTAGTTTTCTTACCTTCATGAGAGCTAGTGCAGAATATGAAATATTAGGGAATTTCATTTCTAACGGCTCCTGGAAGGAAAAAAAACAGTGAGTGTACTCATATTAGCAAGCTTTTCATTCCCCAGGGTACAGAGAACCAGCTTTCCGTAGCAACGTGACCTGTACCTCACAAAACGCATCTGTCACTTCACGTGCTTAGAGGAGAGCTGCCTGGCGTTACCGAGGGTGGGCAGGTTGGCTGCTGTGCCACCACGAGCGGGGCGAAGGAGCAGACATTAAGCATTTCTTTGACTGCTTTTACTCAGGTATCGGTTAAAACGTCATGAGAGGGGCTCAGCCACCTCCAAATAATATTCTAGCACACACTGGCAAAGTAGAGGGCAAAGTTTTTAGATAGGGAAAAAATGCAGCACAGCAAAGGCCCGGTCAAGCTGAGCAAGCGAGGCTTTTCCAGCTGTACTCTGGGTAAAAGGAAGCAGGAACATTTCTCTTTCCAAACACCAGGTCTCCTCAGCACTGCAGAGAGACTCCTGGTCAGTGCTAGGCTCAGGGGAAGCGCATCGGGACGGAGCTCTTACCATGCTCTCAGGGTCTGGAATTCTCACCCCACTGAAGAACTGGTTGGTGCTGAAGACTTGCTGGTGCCTGGGAATAAGATCCCCTTCGACAAAGAATAAAAAAACCAAAGTCAGATTAATTTGCTGTTTTCACAGTGCCTGCACTGAACAAGCTTACATCCTCTAACAAGGCTGACACCATCCGAGAGAGCACCTGAAGAGATGGAGTACCATCAAGTGAGGCGACGAAACGTTCTTCTGTGAAAACTGACGTCCATCTAGGACATCAGTGATCCCGTAGCTGTGTGACTGTGCTGAACGAAAGGCAGGGCCACACAGCTCCAGCTGCCCGCAGTCACAACTGCCCAGGGCCTCATGCTGTAAATGGCTCCAAGAAATTCAGCTGGTGGCTGCAGTTATTGGAGCAGGAACACTCAGCTGCTGTGCGTCTTCCAGGCTCCAAGTTTCAGGGCTGGGCAGCAGAGTGGCTTTTATGAACTGTGGC